TTTGTTGTTGTTGTTTTATTTTATTAGCATGATATGTTATTTATATATATATATATATAAATGCAATAATAGAATATAAATGATTAATTGAATAACACGTGGAAATAATGTTTAATCAATTATTATCTAATCAAATAGACCAGTGAGATACAGAGAGAGATAGAGATAGAGAATATAATGATTATACTAATGATCAAATATACATATATGTATATAATACAGTAGAAACTTAATTCAAAATTTAATGTTAAGAAAAATAGAATTAATAGAAATGTAATAAAATTTAATATAAAATAATTATTAATAGAATTATTGTGAATTATATTATATATTTCATATCAACTTTGCTAATTCATAATTATCTAATCGAATAGAGAGAGATAGAGAGAGAGAGAATGAGAGCTAAATAGAGAAATATAGAATTATTATTGTGAATTTTAATGATGATTAAATATACACGCGTTAATATAATACAGAATTAATTATAGAATTTAATTTAGAATAATATAATATATGTTATATAAAACAATTTCAAAACTATTCAATATCATAGAATATAATCAAATAAACAGGGTGTGTTTTTTTTTCGTAATTTATGTAAAACTAATTTCAAAAGTGAAGAGGGTGAACAAAAAAAAAAAAGATTTATAGCTTTTTTTTTTCATTTTTGTACCAATAATTTACGATACTTTAAATAATAAGAAAGAGAAAGAGAGAGAGAGAGAGAGAAAATGGGAGAATAGAGATTTCTATTGGTTGAATATTTTCAAAACGTGATTTTTAACTCATGCTTAAGATTTCTTTAAAAAAGCATTTACCAATAAATCCTTCTACATCACAAAGAATTGTACAAAAGGAAAAGGACTAAATTTGTGAGGACTAAACTCCTACATAGATTTTCTTTCTCCCTCCCTCTCTCTCTGTCTTTCTCACTCTCTTTTATGCTTTTTCTTACTATTGGATAAACTGGGTACAAAACGTGGTACGACATGGTTGAATTTCGGAAGGTGAAACTTTCAAAGAGAACGGAAAAAGGATGAGGATGAGGAAAAGAAGGGAAGGGAGGGAGAGGGAAGGAGGGATTTACAAAGAGCAGATTTTTTCAGCAACAATGGGGATACCGAGGCGTCAAGGTGGGCGGATGTTACGTCATATAAACTGCGGCATTAAAATTTTTCTATAGCCAAACTGGCTGGGTGCGACACACTAACAAAAAAGAAAAAGAAAAAAAAAATAATAATAATAAAGAACACGAGAAAGAGAGAAACGAAAAGGGAGCATGCGAATGAGTTGTTGTCAAGACGGGGGAGAAAAATGTCACTGTTATATTCGTAAATTACATTAAAAAAGAAGAAAAAAAAAAAAAAAAAATTAAATGAACAAAAGTAAAAAATAAAATAGAATTAAATTTAATACAGAATGCAACCAAATTTTTGTTTTATTGCCAATACTATAAAATATTTGTTTATTGATTCATCATTAAAATTCTTTATTAATATTTTTTAATAAAAAAACTATAAATGCCTTATATAGAAAAATATTAAAAAAAAAAAAAAAAATACTAGCTCAATAAATAATTAATTAACATAATTACATTAACATAACTTATTAGATTGATAACTACACAAGTGTGTATCAAAAATCGATTTGATTCGTTTCGATTGCAGGTTCAGAAGCATTGTATCCTTGAATGATTTCAAACATGATTAAAAACCACTCCTATTATATCTCTATCTTTATCTTGTTCTTTCTTTCCTTCTGTCTTGTCGTTCATACTCTTGCCCCCCATGGTGCCGACCTACCCCATAGGTGGATCGAACCTTCTCTATACCATTCCTAATCGAATCGATGTGACCCTATTGACACGTCGTGTGGAACAAAAAACTCTACGTTCAACTATCCAATCAACTAGTTGTCATTCTTCAGATACAACATCTATGAAATTAGAAAACAACATTTCTTTTTGATAATACACGAATCTAAAAGTTACTTTCTCTATTTTTTAATTTTTTGGTGATTTGAAATTTTTTTTTTTTTTTGAAAGACGTTCTTATCGATCGAATAAAAGAAGAAGAAGAAGAAGAAGAATAGTTGACCATTTGAAATAAAAAAGTAAGACTTTTAAAAAGAAACACAACAAGACGTGCCTTTTCCGTTCACCTCGAAGAATCTCCTGAGAATGGCCACTCCCAGTCCATAGAATTGCGTTCAATTGTCCATCGAATACACTTATCCTTCTTCTATATTCTATTCTTTTTATTTATTTATTTATTTATTTATCTATTTTCGTTTCTACAAAGAACCATAACATACTTTTAACCCATTCGAGACCACGACTTTTTTCGAACACGGTTCAAGAAGCCATTTCTTTTTTTTTTTTTATTATATTGTCCATTTGAGAATACTAAATTTTGTTTTTATATACTTTACAGATACTATTTATATAAAAAAAAATCTTATATATATATAAGACGAATACTTTATTCAAAATAATTAATAATAGTCAAGTATGATTGTACACACAATGTGTAATTGGGTTTCGAATGGATTAAACGTTGATTGAACCTTTGCATTCGATTTAAAAAAAATATTGATTTTGTTAAATATCCGTCATTACGAAATAAACAGGTGTATAGTGTGTTAAAACGTATATAAATATTAAGAAAAAAAAAAATTAATAACTACTTGAAGAACTGTACAATTTTATGAGGAATGATTTTTACATGTTAAATTAAGTTCGAATATTTTTATCGTTCGAGGATTTCGTTTTCAAGAGAAAAGATCGTGTAAAAAAAAAAAAAATCTATATTTAAAATATCTTCTACCAACGGATAGAGAAGATAATCCTAGAAAGGAACTTTTACTTTGGAAATTATTGTATACAATAGTCAGCTGTTGGTGATACGTCATTGTCACGTTTCAACTGATAGAAATAAACTAAACTAAGAATAAATAAAAGGCAACTTTGGTTGAAAACAAATTGTTAACATAACAGAAGACAATAAAAATACAAAAATAAATAAAAGAAAAATGTTAATTGATGATAAATAATTTGAAAAATGGTTCACGATGTTCACATTTAATGCAATCAATTTTTTTCTACACAATTTTTATCTCAAACAAATAAATTTGTCAAAATTAACATATTTATTATTATTTCATTTATAATAATTTATTTTAATACTTAATATTATTTATTATTATTATTATTATTATTATTATTATTATTATTATTATTATTATTATTATTATGTTATCTTTTTTAATAAACGTTCATTTTATATCTAATTTAAATGATAAAAAAATGTGCAAGTTGCATGACAGGTTGACACAGAAAAAAACAATCACGTTTCATCTTACCTTAGACATTCCCATGTCTAAACAAATGGTTTTTTTTTGTTTTCACTATTATCTGAACCTTTTTTATGCATTTAAAAAGCCGTTAGATATTCGATCGAGGTCTATGTCATGATGAATATTCAAAGTATCGATCCTCTCGATCACACTTTCAAACTAAAGTCGTACCCTTTGTATTCGATATTTTTGCATGACGATGCAAAAGACACACATACACACCTCTATTACATTCTAAAAATAAATAAGAATTTACCTAAAGTTTCTTATTACAATCAATCAATTATAATATGAAAGAAATATCTTTAAAATTAAATTTAAATTTCAACTAAATTTAAATTAAATATTAATTAAAATAATTTCAAATGAATAGTTAAAATTTTCAATTTTAATTAATAAAAAAATAAAAAAGTAATACAGGTGTGTTTTAGATGTTAAAATGATTTGTTTCCAACTATTATTTATACCTAATCGATTTGAATAAAGATTATAAAGATTATACTATGAAAAATCAAAGAAAATGTACGTATATCGTTAGAACTGTCATTCAAAGAAATGCATCAAGAATTCTTAGACATCGATCGAACAACGATGTTATTTGTAAACGTCTATCGAAGTATCTGACACCAATGCTTTGAATCGGTCTCTTTTGTAACAGTACCACCTTCTCTGATTAACCTATTCTACGTTTCACAATATATATCCTTCTTGATCGAAACCGATACAGGAAAAAGGATTACTTTTGTAAAACTTTCGAGTTATTCTTAGATCAACGACGTAGTTGTTCTTCTATAGAAATGAAAGATAAAAACATAATAAACAAAATTTAATTCTAAATCCTTTTTTTTTTATATCTTTTTTTTTTATAGAAAATAAAAACGTGAAATATTTAAGATGTAATTATTTCTATTAGATTGATAATTAATATCAAAGATTTTTTTTAATACTACAAAACATAATGATATCATTTAAATTTAATATAATTATAATAACAGTATATAAAATAGATGTTTCGTAACTAATTACTATCGCTAATTATTAACATAATATTGTGATCTAAATATTTATTATATATTATTATTTAATTTATTGTTTATAATGATTATATTTAATATAAATCGAATTGAAAATTTCAATTTAATTTTATTTGAATTTAATTGAATTTAAATTTAAATGTATATGGTGACATCTAGTGTTCAATCTAACAATTAAAAAGATATTACCATTTAAATTTAATTTGGATGCATGTAGTGACATCTAATATTCAGTCTAACAACTAAAAAGATATTACCGACAGTATCAACAAGACAAACTGTTATACCGACTGCAGAATTAAACACAAATATTTTAAAATACAAAAGATTAATAAACCGAAAGATTTGTAATTATGTTTAATAACAAAAAAAGTATAATTTTCCAAATGCAAATATAAAAATAATCTATTAACAAACTAATATTTTTAATATTTATATACTGTTATTAATTCTGAAATAGCTAAGATTGCACATGCGTATTGTGCATCCTACCACTGCTGCCATCTAAGATAAACTATATATTGTTTTTATATGTTGCACATGCGTATTATGGATTAGACTAGTGCTGCTATCTAAGATAAACAACACATTGTTTTGTTATGAATGAAAAACTTTAAACATCAATGACTTAAATGTTTATAGTAATATCGCTTTAAAAATATTAAATTAACAATTTCTAATATTTTCTGTTTATAATACTGTAATTATACACTACTTTTATTTCACATTTCATAAGTATTTCATATAAAATGGACAAATTGTCAAAAAATCAAGCTAACCATAGGTATGTTTATGAAAAATGTTTTTGTATTTTAATTATTATTTTTTAATAATTACCACATATTTGATTAATCAAATATTTTATGTTTATTTGTTTATCATAGTGTATATATACCAGAAAATCCTGGATCATCACCTGCTTACAAAAGTAAACAAAGTAAATATAATTTTATACTACTGCAGAATAATATCATATTAAAATTTACACTCTCTCTCTCTCTCTCTCTCTCTCTCTCTTGCCTTTGCAAAACAATAATAAAAAATCTTTTTTCTAGGTTTAGAAAAAAAGAAACTATCGAGAAAATCAATGTTGCCTTCTAGTATATCAATGGAATCATTAAGGGAGGAAGAGGCACATAGCAAAGATATGGACTTGCAATTTCTATATAATGATTATCTATTATCAACTATGTTAGAACATCTGACAGAAAAAAATTCTAAGACATTAAAAGAGTCGATTGTAAGACAGTCAGCTGATATTACTAAAGCATGTGCTGAAGATGAAGAAGAACTAAACAAATTAAAGATTCGAGAAAAGGATATAATAAATTTAAGTATTGTCCAAACCAAACTAGATGAACAAATAGAAGTTATAAATGATTATATCAGTAAGTGTTAGATGGTAACTATAGGAATGTTTAACAATAACATCAGAAGACTGATGAAAACAGTTCATACAAACATGTGTCTTATTTGAACATATTTCAAAGTTATGGTCATTTCTATGTTACAGTAGCCTGTATGTTATGTTGCAGTAGTTGTTTTACCATTGAATTTTGTAATCTTTTTAAAACTCTAGGTATATGTCGAATTTGTTTTAACAACCTTCTTATAAACCTGTTCGAAGTTCTACAATGTTAATAATTAGTGTAAAATACACAATTGTTTTCAAATGGTCGTTTACGTGCTTATAACTTTGAAACAAAGACAAGAAATACTTATAAAACACTAGTCAATGTTTAGAAATTGCTAACCAAGGATTATTATTTTAAAAAATTCTCAATGATAATTAGCTATTGCTATTATTCAAACAAAAAAGTGACTATAACTTTAATAGTCATATAAGACACATTTGATTACTATTATTATAATATTATGAAACTATTATTATTATATAATATTATTATTATAATCTTAACTTGTAAAAGATTAATTTATATTTAATGTTTTAAAGAATGTGGTAAAATAAGTGACATAGAAGATATTATGTCTCAACTATGTACGGCTTTGAAACCTTTGGATATTTTACGGTGTAATAATATAATTTTACCTGAGAAAACCAACGAATGGACAGAGTTACATGAAATTTTGAAGAAATGCCAAAATACTCTTCACAATATCAGAGAATTAATTAATACTAATTTAGAAACGTATGAAACTGTACACAAAGGAATACAAGATTTTACTTCAACATACAATGATATCGAAGCTTGTCAGAAAAAGTAAAATTATATATACATATATATGTTTATTTTTTTACATTCTTACTGTATAATTAAATATACTTCATTTATGCATATTTGTTTTCAGGTTGGACAGTGCACTCCAAGATTTGCAAATAACTGTATTGAAAAATGGTTCTTTTTCTTTGGAATAATATTAATAAGATTAGCATTTAAAATATGTGATATATAAATACTCTTATATATATGATTTTTTAAAAATATGTATATTATATATACTGCCAGTACGGAGAGAAAAACAGTTTATAATAAAAGTTTATATTTTTTCTTACACAAGCTTATTTCTTTTATAATCTAAAGTAATAAAAAACTACACATTGATAATAATACGAGAACATATAAAAACTACTTCGTAATGCATATTCAATTACAATATAAGCATAAAAGTATAAATATTTATGTTCTTATAAAAAAGAAGTACAGGAGGAAATTTAGTTTTACATAAAAGAAATGTATTGTAAAAAATTCTACCATAGTTTTGATATGTTCACGTTTTTTTCCTGATTATGTTTGCTAATCAAGGTCTTATTATTGTATTTACTATATTTTTTCTACTGTCCTATTGTACTTTGTTCTTTTTTTATTTCTTTTTCTCTATTTTTCATTCTATGTCATTCGTCCTTATCATTTTCTCTCTCTCTCTCTCTCTTTCTTTTTCTTCTTTTCTGTTTCTCTTTAGGGAAGGAAGATATATACAGCATACCCAAACTTTCCTATTATTGTACCACACGCTTGCCAAAGATAGAAAGTTCGTCAAAGATCGTAGATAGAACAGCTACGCGGTGTAATTTCATCGTGAGCATTCGAGACAACGTGTCACGCGTTGTAAGCCTTCTCGTTCTCTCAACTTCTAGTTTCTATTCCTAAGCTAGCGTCAGCTATTTCATTATCACTCAAAGAGATCTTATCACTTTCTTGTGGCCTATGTTTCCAGTTTGTATCTGACTTCGAAAAGTTCTATTTCACTTTGTTCCTAGGTTAATAATATTAGAATGCATTTTATACGTATTAATTTAATTGAGTGCTGTCTATCAACTATAAAAATTATTATTTAATTTAACATTTTTTTCAGTTTGATTATAAATTTAACTAATATTATTTCTAAGCTTGCTTGAAAAGATGATCTCTTTGAAACATATTATTTTCTTAATTTTGTTTCAGTTACTTTTTTTTATAATTATGTTAGTTCGGTTGAGTATAATTAGTTGTTTCGAAAAAGATAAACTTTGTTATTTCAACTAAAAATTAATTTAATGATAACTCATCTGAAAAAATTTAATTGATTTAACATATTCAAAGTATTAAAATACTAAAGAAAGATCAATCTTTTTTTTTTTGTAACAAGAATAAAATCTAACTATGGAATAAAAAAAAAAAGTATCACGACGTATGTTAATCTATTTTTTAATTTAAATTTACAACGAACATATTTCAATGTGTAATAAAATAATATCAAAAATAATTTAAACAATTCCAAGTGAACATCTCTATTTCTCTCTTTAACGCATTTGCATTTGAACAAAATCATGGCAAAAAAAAAATTGAATTGATTTATTTAAGATTGATTAACATATTTAATTATTTAATCGTTGTACGAGAATTTCGAAATAATTCAAACAATTCTATCTATATCTCTCTTTTTCATACATATATATATGAACCTACATACATGTATTCTCACTGTATACTTACACACATAAATGTAGAGACATAAATTTCGAATGGTCGTACCCAGAGTCATAGATTTTCCGCGTTCTCTCGTCACGCGTTTAATGCGTCGACGCATCTCGTGGTTCTATGAGGCGGACGGTAATTGATTAGTAGTCCTTTAATTAAATTTCCACATCGTATTATCGTTGTCAGGATGGACATGACTTTTTATCCGAAAATTCGTCAATCCATCTATCTCTATCAATCTATTTTTGTTTATCATTTTTAAGAAGAAAGTGTTCATTTCTTTTTCTTTTTAATTCCTTCTATTATTTTCTTTATTTTCTTCGATTTTATCGTTGCTCTAAGTCTTATCGTTTTTTTTTTTTTTATTAAATAACTTTCTACGAGAGTATAGAAACAACCCCGTCAGCTCCTTTGCCAACACACATGTACACATGAAGACATACTCGTATCTATCTATATATATATATAGCGTTTGTTTTATCTGAAACTATCTTAAGCACCGATATAACCCGGGAAAGCCTTCGTAATATTTTGTGCGTACAGATAACGGACTCTGGGAGTTACTTAGAAGTTAGTCGGCTAAAGTAAGAGAAAGATTAGGGAGGGCCTATCGTAGAACCTAACTCCCGAGCGTGATATTCTCTTGTTTAATTTTATCATGGAAAAGCTTGCAACCCCCATCCACCACCGCCACCCTTCTATGATACCGCTTGCTACGATTTTATTATTTTCTTTTTTGTTTTGTTTTTGTGTGTGTGTGTGTGTGTGTGTGTATTTTTATTTATTTAGGTATCTATTCTTTTCGCTATTTTTACACACATACACATACTATTTTTATTTTATCCATCCGATCGCGTGTTTTTTTCGTACAACTTTTTTATTGATTGGATTCGATAGATATGTAATCTTTTTTAATCCATCTTCGAATTTTTATTTTTATTTTTCTATTACTACTTTCAAGTTACACGGGATAGATGATATTTTTGTGTTCTGTTTCATTTTGTTTTATCTTTCTCTTCCTATGAAAAAATATTTACGATCGATAATATTTATAATACAATTTTCAATTTTATATATTTATTATCCTTTAATAATTTTTTCTATAGCAGATAAAATTTATGTAAAAAAAAAATTCTTGTTCATCGATAGTAACGTTCGTTAATAATAATAATTTTTAATAATATTAATATAAACTTCAAACTATCAATAACATTTTTAATACAATGTTCTTACCATCAACGATAATATTTTGATTAGAGTTGTTTTCAAAAGCAATAACACTATCCCTATAGACGATAAAAATCCTGATAGATCTTTCACGATGGAATCATAAAATATTGAATTTAATAGTCATTTTCCATGGCCTTTTATACTTATCACGCAGGCTTAGGGGTATCCTAGATCCAGGACGAAGGCTTAACGTTAAATGTCTTCTCGGCGCTTTAAAAAATAACCAATTTGGTTATAAACAGTGCTTAGGAACTTCAACATGAGAAGGCTACTTTGGAGAAAAAGTATAATGTGGATTTCGTGTTACTTGTGTGAAGACATATTTTTAATTAATTTCCTCGTAACCTCCTTTCCAGTGTGTCCTTTTGGAATATGTTAAACCATTTCAAAGTTTGACTTAAGGTCCTCTTGTGTGACCAATATCTCTGTCGTTACACATCCACACACAAACACACATTTATACTTTATCTCTTTCTCTTATGGGATTTTAAGATCTATGTAAAATATACAGGGTGTGAGAGTTTATGGTTATTTACAGTTTCAAGAAAAAAGTTTTTAAGATATAATATCATTTTTTAAGTAGTAAAGAGTTCAAAATTTTAATTCAATTATATTGTAAATATTTCATTAAAGTATATTAAATCTTTGAAATAATTAACTCTATTTTCTAAAGACTTTTATACTACAATACCATAATTAACGAAGATATTAAGATATTCTAATTTAAATACCTCACCCCCTGTATAACATACTTACATATAAATATATTTATTAATGTACGTATAGGTGTATGTGAGTATATGTTTATGCATCTACTTAGATACCTAATGCTAGTATACGTGTGAGCACATATATGTATAAGCTAGTAAGTAAACGCGCGTGTATCTCATCTACCTGCTTTCTCGGTACATATAAACACATATACCATAAAGGTAGCGTGTAATGGGGAATATGCAAACTTGCGATGAACGTGAAGTAAACAGGGAACGTAAACTGCTGTGTTAATTTCAAGGCCGACGCCAAGATGAAACGAGCGTTTCACCGTTTTAATTAACCGTAGACCTGTACCACTGCGATACCGTGATTAAGAATTAAAGGACGCGTTAAGAAATATGTTTCATTGTTTTTTCATATTGATTGATCATTCGATTGGGTCGAAAATCCCATGAACACACAAAAAAAGAACAGAAAAAAAGAAAAAATCACACGCATTTTACAGTGAGAAAGATCACCGTGAGTTAAGAGAGTTGTTAATCAATCTAATGTTTGTCATGAAAATGATTTGTTTATTTTTTTAATAATTTTTTATTTCTTCTAAATCATCATAAATATCATTTTAAACATTTATAAAAAAAAGTAGTATGAATCTTGAAGCTACAATAATTACAATATTATATGAAGTATTAGTTTAATTTAATTTATTAAAGATTTTGATAGAAATTTACTTGGTATTTTTTAAATTATTTATTTTAAAAAATATTTAATTTAATTATATAAATTATATTGAAAATAAAACACGTGTGAACATTATTATGCTAGAAGCATGGATTGGTTTTGCTACATTTTTGGAATAAAACAATATTTACCATCTTTGAGCAAGTATTTTAATTACCTTAATGGAATTCGTTGTCTTTCATTTCTCATTCGTTCGTTCGTTCGTTTGTTTTATTTATTATTTTTTGGCGTTTCGTTGAAAACCGCAATTACAGTTCTGATGGGACGTAAAATCGAACTACTGTGATGGTGGTTTTATAACGTTGCTGTGCAATCACGTAAATGAATGCGACCTCCTGTATAAGTGTCTCGATTTAATTACGACGTGAGACGATGATTGCACCATTTATATCAAATTTCTTTTTCCTTACTGTTTTACAGCATTTAAGTTTTTGTGAGATTTTAGGTATTTAATTAAAAATTGTTCACAATAAAAATACATATAATAATATATGTATTTCAATTCTAACATATCAACTCTACAAAATTAAATATAATCTATCTTGCACAAAGAAATTTGATTCTACGATAAAAAATTACTAAAATATTCAAGCTTACAGTATAAGGATCAAGATCAGTTAAACCTGATATATATTCACAGTAAGTTAACTGATACGATTTTTCAATTTCCTAGGAACGAGTACAGTTATATTGAATTTTGAGTACTTCAACCTCCTTTTAGAGCATCGCAAAATCCTATTTATCCTATTCTACAATTGTAGTTTAACATTTGAGTCACGTATATCACGGAAAAGAACGGTCA